CTAGAAACTGTAATACTTTGACAGTTTTGTTGTCTTGAATATATGAGTTTTATAGTGGGTTAAGTCAAGAAAACCAAACTATTTTCATGTTAACATTTGTGCCAAGGAAAACCTCCATTTACTTATTTTTCATTACTATATTGATTTAGTGTCATCATAAATGATTTCAATATGAATTGCATATAACTGTAATACAAACTAGTTAGCTAGTTAAAATATATGGGCCCAAAGCCGTGTTGTACACTTTGCATTTTATATAAAGAAGAAATTTTAAATTAAGAATATGAAAAGTTATGAAATAAAAAATATGAAATATTTAAAGATGAATGAAGTGTTGAAATGAAAATGTTATATTTCTGTTTAACTGGTCCACCTGGCTCATTAATTAATTTCAAAAATAGTTGTACACTTGATCAGGATTGTTGCCGATTCAAATCCACCCCCTTTTAGAAAGGAGGAAAAAAGACTCCCCTTAGCAAAATATCAGGTTTGCTGAAAACTTTTCATTTTACTAAGGGTCTTCTATGGCATACAGAACCATGTTTGTATTCGCAAAAGTGGAGGAAAACTGGGTAGCAGTAGCATAAAATGAACCCTTGAATAACCCGGGCACACTGCGCCAACACATGCTTTCTTTTTACATACATTGTAACATTTGCTTTCCCTATAATTTGCCGATAATTTGCCTAATTTTTAATATCACCTGAAGGAATCCAGACGGAGATCGAGTTCCAAAATTAATATTCTGTAAAAATGAAGTTAGAACATGAGATTCTTATAAAAACTAAATACTATTGAGCTGTAAAGTACAAGAAGAGTAGAAACTGAGTGTCACTTTTTAGTGGACAGTGAATTCTTCGAACACTAAAAGAAAATATATCCAACGCTGTTTGCTTATTCTACATTATTCTATACTATTCATTTTTCAGTCTCATCTGAATAAGTTTAGGTCGACTGATGATGTAGACTTCTTGATAGAACTAATGGAAGCTGTTTTCTATCCTTTCAAAAAGACAAACACATACCTGGATGCTCTGTGTTAACATTATTATTATTTTTTTCCATGTAATTATACACAGTAGCATCAATTACCGAATCTACATGCACAATCAGAAGTTTGTATTCTGGGCGTAAACCCTTAGCAAGAACACAGAATAAATACACCAACTGCCTGCAGCAGCAAATCTGCAGGAAAACCATTTTGTATTTATAGCAGAATTCAATAATTGGATACCGTTATATTTCTTAGACCATTTCGTCCCAAAATACACAAAACTTGTTCAAAACATAACGACAGAGAGTTCCCTCTCGCGAAGTGCCGAACCGTTGCGTGGTTCTGTTGTAAAGGTAAACGGCAAAAGAGAGATCCTCGATTGTTTGGCGTAGGCCTTGCAGCTCCAACGGTTCCAATACCTCAAAGCATTTCGGCGAGTCCTCCCAAGTGAAAGGGTAAAATGATTCACGTCTTAAACAGTTGGCGGCACAGTGCCCACGCGTCGCTGTTTTCTTGACGTTATGGCCACAGACCAAATTTGGAAATCGTTCCGCTACGCGAGTAAACAGTTCCGGTCCATTTGCTGCGTAATTGATTGGATCATAGTGACGGAGAAACTCTTCAATGCATTTACTAATAAAACGATTCCGTGGTTGGAATTTCAAAACAGCACCGTTCAGACGCGTTTCTTCGTTATTTTCCCAAGCTATCACATTTTCCAGTGAGTCTAAACTCCGAAAAAGTATAATATCAGTATCCAAGTATATGCCACCGTATAAGTAAAGCAACACTGTACGAACAAGATCAGTCTCTTGAACATACCAATATTGGCCGCGTGTAAGAGAATGGATTTGCTCTAGAAAACACTCCGCGCTTGCGCAAAACGTCTTCGGTTCCAGCTGCACCAGACGATGTAATAAGTCATTCATTGAGTAATTCACTATCTTTACGTCAAAGTCTCTTTGGATATACTTGCCAATCAGATGCTTTGGCAACACTGCACTGTATATGCGTACTTTGCCACGAAGATAATGGAAAAGAATGCTTTCAAGAGAGCGATGGTTGCGCGGGCTCATGAAAGGTGTTGTATATATCTGATAAAAAGTCAGCTCGGTTTGGGCTTCCGGTGATTTCTTGCATACTGCACCAGCATCACGTCGCCCGTATTGGAAGAGATGTGAATATGCTTTGAAGTCCTCGCAAACGTTTGATGCATCGAATTTCTCGACAGTTTTGGACGATGCACCTAATATTAAATATAAATATTCTATGAATTTATAACAAAGACGTGAAAAAATAATGAAAAAATATATGAAAAGATGGGTGCAAGTTTTGTCATACACTGACCTCACGAAGCATTGATCTGTCCAATTTCTGATTATCTTTTTGTAGAAATATGCTATATGTATCAGTGCAAGTTTTATGACGCACAAGATAAATATGAAATGCCAAGTTAAACAATGCAAATAATACGACATGTCGTTTTACGTTTACCATACCTTTACAAAACACTACGCTCAAAAAAGCAAAGAACATGGTGTCAACAAGTGAATTTTTGTACCAGTATGTGGATAGTCGCATGGCTATATAGAGGTCGTCTCAGCGCACGAACTGTATACCAGCGGTACGTGAATGACCTTAAAAAATAATTATAAACGTTTATATTATAGATGATGTTAATTTAGCTTTGTGTGAGCCCTGTAATGCTATAAAATATGCTACCTGGTTACTCCAAGCAGAGCTTATTCAAAATTTAAAATGGCTGCAAAATTAAAAATGGTGGTAGAATAGCAGTTTATTTTATAATGGTATCTAGTGAAGTTTAATTGAGACAGATTAACTTATTAACAAATTAATAACAGATAACAGATTAACTTATGGTACAACTGCTTCAGACAGCCACTGCAGTGTCGCTTACTATTGAGAAATATTTATAATCTAAAGAACAACATAAAACCACAATTCTGCTTTGTTCAATAATTGGAATACTGGAGAGAGGGAGTCACCCGAAAATTCATGTCAATGTTACCGCGCGAAAGTAACATGTAAGATTAGTAAAACCATGGCAGAAACCCATTTAGCCATATGACAATTACTGGAGGTGGGACAGGATTAGCGCCGTAGAAACCTTGTAAGCGTGGGGGTTCCGCTTTTATGGAACACAAACATGCTCAAATATTCTGAACATTTACTCGTTCAAAGTTCGGTATTCAAAACAATGAAATCTCTTATTGTTTCAAGCAGTTTTATATACATGCAACAAGTGAACTTTCCTCCTACACGCCACTAAATAAGAACACGAGAACGTGTGAAACCATGAAGTACGTGACATTGATAGGTAGTGCAGGTGCAGTATTGCTTATACGCTTCAGAAACTAAATACATAGGAATTTTTCTGTATATTTAACTGCAGCAATTTTTACAAACCTATTGATAGGCCTGACTTACACTGTAAGCTATCAGTGTTAAGTAATTGTCAAGCCCCTTGGGACACATTGCTCATGTTTCATGTTGACTAGCGTCTGGTGGTGACAGACACAGTCTGCCCCCTGTGACAAATCTGGACAACGTGTACAATATTAATTGTACATGTACGCCATGGGACCTGTCGCTCAGTGCGAGGTTCTACTTTAAGGGCCTAATTCTCTTTAAAAAAATTGAAGGGTGTTGATATCATCTTTTATATCTTGAGAGGGTCCCAGCTGGGAAAGGGGGGGGGGTAGTCATCACAGTTCCTGGGATATAGAATACTCAGCTTTCATTCCATTTTTTAAATTGCGACGATGCGAATTTTGAGAAAAATATATTTGGCAAATAATTCCGCAGAGAAGATACCTTTTTGTCTGCTGAATGCGGTTTACAGGTAGTATGAGGGGCAGATCCAGGATTGTTCTTTTTTTTTTTAGGAATGACAGAATACGAAATCGACCCTCGGCCCCCTTGGGTGGGTTTCGGGGCCCATACGTGTTGCTCATTTAAAGACCAATGATACATATAGACGGACACAGAAAGTATATACTTTATAATTAACTTTCAACAATTAAATCTATTACAACAGCCTTTAACATATTGTACTTTTTCACCAGTAAGGTTATTCTAAATAGTTGAACTATCTACGGAATTAAACCAAACGATATACTTACAGCATCTGAGAAGAACACTCAGCGTAGTTCACAACTTGTATGATAATGGCGTACGAGAAGGCAAGTAAACATCAACCTCCGTGTCCAGTGTCTAAACGCGACCCCCATTAATTAGACCAAGGGCCGTGACAGGACAGGGACGCAACAGACAATAGATCTTATATATATATTAGACCGTATTTTTTCAACAGACAGACGACATGCAAGCAATTCACTGTATTCCCTTTACAATTAACTCAAGCAGCTGATATTTACTATTTTCTATTATATTTGATTATGACCAAACCCAACATTCCAATAAAATCTTAAGGTCGTTCCTCTGAAATATTTTATTTTCTTTGAAACTTATTTTTATTTGGTGGTGTGAAAAGTGGCAACCACCTCCTTGTACTCTCATGTTTTTAATTAAATCAGACTGTTTCAGAATTTAAAATATTTCTTCCGAATTTCCTCTCTCATATTGATCTTACAGCAATATAAATTTGAAGATTTCTGACAAATTTAAGAGATTTGTCATTTTTTCCCCGTGTTTCAGAATATTACACCACCTCAATGGATCGTATAAATTGAACCAACCTTTATGGAGATACAATTTTCTTACCCTCTACCAGGGCGACTGAAAGATTTTTCACGTCCCATGTGTCGTCCCAATGGAGCCGAGATTTAATGACTGACCCCCCGCAGGGACGACGTGTGGGGAGGCGTGTGAGAGGCGGAGAGACTATTAAAAGATGAGGGGGTTTTTCTTTCATGTACGACNAGGGGGGTTTTCTTTCATGTACGACCGCCATACTTAGACCCCAGGATTTGTAAAGCCTGGCTCAACTCGTGAATGCGATCTAAGAAGAGCCGACTAGCCCACTAATGGTCTCTCCGCTTCTGCATGTGCTTTAGACTGATTAAATCACGGCTCCGAGGTTTGGGCTAGACCCCTGCAAGGACAGGCATGTGGAGGTCGGGAGACCATCAGCGGATTAGTCGGATATTCTTTCATGTAAGGTCCGCCATATTTGATCTGTAGATCCTTGGATCTTCTGTTCTGAATGGCCTAACAATCACACAGCAAATTTTGGCTTTCATCTTATGGAAGTATTGAACCTAGTCTTTTATTTTTTTCTAGATAATTTACAATAAAAGCGTTGCTTCACTTTGATTTGCAAAATTTGCAATGTCTTCCAACCTCATTTTTGCCTCCTTTATTCCAAAATACTAAAAAAAAATGTTTACTTTTGTCACTTTCTGCACATGCATTGTTAAACACTGAACAACATTCAAGAAACTGATCAATGACAAGGAGAATCAAGTCCTTTTAATTACATTCATTTTTCTTTCAACATGCAGTCATAGAATAATGAAATTTATTTTACCAGTTTAATCAATTACCCCATTCCTAAATATTTGACATATTTTAATAACTTTAAGTTACTTAAAGCTATAAATGTATTCTTAAAGGTCCAGCTCTAATCTAGATTTATGTACTAGTATTACCAGCCATTATACACCAGCATCTGCAAAAACATTTCTAAACATTGCAACAGGATATATTTCTTCAAGTTCAAGCCTCACTTCTGGAGCAATGTCATCGTTAAACTCCCTTTTGACTATGCCTTCTGTGTTAGATTCCCTCTGTTCCTTTGTCTCATGTGCTACATCTTCAACTTGAATTTCCTCTTTGAAAGACTGAACTGAAGCCTCAGTCCCATGTGGTTTTTCCTTTCCCAAAGAGTGAAGTGAATCCCCAGTGTGAATCAATTCATGGCGTTTACGCTGATCTTTTACAATAAAGCTCTTTTCACAATACTGGCATTGGTATGGTGTTTCTCCACTGTGAGACCTTCCGTGCTGTATACATCTAGGTTTAAACTGAACACCCTTTTCACAGAATTTGCATTTGAATGGTTTTCCTCTTCTGTGAATCATTTCATGTTGTGTACAGCTACTTCTGACACTAAAACTCATATCACAATACTGGCATTTGAAGGAGTTTTCTCCATGGTGAGTCCTTTCGTGTTGTATACAACTCAGTGCGATACTAAATCTCTTTTCACAATATTGGCATTTGAATGGGTTTTTTCTCGTTTGGTTCACTTCATGTTGCATATCACTCTGTTTAACATTAAACATCTTTTCAAAATACTGATATTTGAACGGTCTTGCTCCATGTTGGGTTATTATTTCAAGAGGCATGGTATATCTCTTCTGGACTATCATTTCAGAATCTATTGTATTGTGAATCTGAAAAAAAAAATAATATCAAAATTTTACATCATGTAAATGTATGTTGTTGCTAGACAAATAAGCTGTATCAGAATTCTTACCATGATTGTTCCATCTGCATTACACACAAAAATGTTTGCAAAAATTTTGAGTGAATGCGTGTTTAGAATTAACAAATTTTCAAAAAATAAAATCTCTGTGCATGAGTTGACAGGTAATATGAACTTTAAACCAGTCTGGCTAAATTGAGCAATATGCCACAATACAGTGCAATACACTTGTATTAATTATTTATTTATTTATTTATTGCGGTTCAAGTACATTTTTTACAATGACTATGACCTAACAGTATACATTATATAATCATATAACTAAAATTACAATAATAAACTATAAGTCCAGTCACAAGAAAACACAGAAAACGGTCATTCTCAACAAAATAAGGTGATAAAAAAGCAAAATATTTGACTAGATTATTGATGTCATTGATATAACTAACACACTGGCGCTACTTCTAATATTGTCGGGTCGACAGCCATGTTGGCTTGTGGCTCTTCTTGACAATATTACAGGCCAAGAAAAGCCACTAACCAACTTGGCGTCTGACCCAATGATAAAGAAAATGTGCAAATTTGTTAAGTTTTTAACTTTTATCAAGGCTATAATTATTTTGTAATATATTTCGCTCTCATATCAGCCAATTTTGTTTAGAATGACAGTTTCCGGTGTTTTCTTGTGACTGGACTTGTTTTTTCAAGCGTATTGCACTGTATGGCGGCGTATTGCACAATTTAGCCAGACCCACTTTAGACCAAAGGCTTTAGGCGCTCGCTAGCAGTGCAATCTAAAAGAGATATACGCAATTGATTACTACTTGATCATTTATAAATTCAAATTTTTGAAGATAGATACACAAAAGAAGATGAATTATCTATGTGGTTATCATTTATAAACCAACAAAATACAACAAAACTCTATGTTTACAGTAAAGAATTTGAAGCAGAGCAGCTAACATAGTTTTTCACACATTCCTACCCATCGTGTCAGCTGAACGTTCTTAATTCCCACTGACAAGATAAAGTAACCTAACATTTGCAGGTGTGACAGCTGACATATTTTTTCACACCTGTGCAGTTTACCTGTGTCATTCTGGAAAAGCCAGGTATGTGGACAAAAGGGCAAAGATATTGGATTGATAGTACCGGCCACTACATTTCACACCTCTACAACTTACCTCACTACTTCCGCAGCTGTATTTCATTGTAAAAATTTGACACTACTATCATGTTAACATATTCAAGTTTTCACCCACAGGACCAAATAATTCGACAACGTACCTCTGCTACGAACTGTTTTTGGGCTCTAGCAGCTGCTCTCTTCTTCCTTTCGACGACCGCATCATGCACACGTCCTGCAGGTAAGTCTCTCGTCGGCAGCGCTCTGGCATTTACTGTTGCATTTTGGTACTCCGAAAAATCGAATATACTGGGTACAGCATCATCTCTTAGTTTTCTTCGTGCTTTTCCACCACACAATTCAGCTTGCAGGTCACGTAAGAAGCATTCGGGCTCGAAGTGTTCACTACAAACCCTTGCGTGTTTTGACACTGAGCTTGGATTTTTGAACTTCAGAGAATTGAGCCAAAGTTTACGTTTTGCGGCATTTGCAGGCAGGACAAAATAGCAGATGTCTTTCTTTTCGTAACCAACATTACGGCACCCGGGTGCAACACAACTTTGCGGCATTTTGTTTCACTGACACCTGGATGTTTAGTCACCTACAGTATCTACATATACTGTCGGAAGCTACTCCGCTGGTTACGTCACTAGAAACTGACAAATCAGAATTTCCTCATCTAAATCTCCTGTTTTCTCTCTAAAACTTAAAAAGAACAATTTTTGACGTTGATTTAAAGTTTTATATTGTAAAAAAGAATAAAAGCAGCGAACGTTCTTCAGTGTTCCTAGAGCAAGTGATCCTTTAAAACAGCGGCGTTTGAAAATTTTCAACAACGACCGGTGGATGGCTTCACCCCTGTGTAAGTCCTTTTGTGTATTACCCAGTTGTTTCTGTTGGTAAATCTATCACAAAACCTGCATTTGCATTGTTGATCTCCAGTACGTGTATGGAATTCTCTGTACGTCTACTCCTGGCTCCACGGTCATACTCCCACGCCGGAAGTACACGACCCCTTTTTCGCGTGTCGTAATCAAAACAAGTGGCGACCAATGTCGGCGGCACATTCGGCTATCACTTTGATTGGGTATAAACCTACAACCTATGATGGACCTCGGCGTTAGGCTCTTAGGCAATAACGTGGGTGTGCGATTGGCAGCTGGTAAACGATTGTCTTTTTTATGTGAGGCTTGTCTTGCAGTATTATCTTTTGGGTGTTAGGTGTATCGTTGTTTTCATTTTCAAATTGCGGCGAAATTTTGCTGTGCTGTGTATTATTTCCTTGCCAGTGCTTGTGTTGAGAGGAGTTTTAAGAGAGAAACACATCGGTTAGGTAGTATTTTCGGTTAAGGGTTTATGCTTTAGAGCCACTTCTCGTACAGCGAGCTATTTGCGTATACTCATGTAGCGATTTGGGGTGAGTGCAGAAAAATCACCAGCCAGACCAGGAATCGAACCCGGGACCCCTCGCTTACAGGGCGAGTGCTCTTACCTACAGAGCTACCCGGCCGGTTCTACCTGCCCCTGGCA